ACAAATTGCTATTATACATATATTGTATAGGTTATACACATTATTGTAGGTAGATATAAACTATTTCTACAGCAATTCAAAGTTATATACGTACGTATGAAATGTAATATCTGCATGAGAGCCAGAATGCGATTTGCAAATGCAGCAATAAGACATTTATTTTTTATAATACACCACAGATCAACAGATAAAACGCTAGGTAACCGTACGATACGTATTATGCGCTTTTAAGTTCCCCTCAACGTTGTCGACGTTCCCCCTCCAGACCAGCAAGTGACGGAGACAGCACCTTACTGCGTATCATTCTGTCCTTTAGAAGACGCGGACAACTCCTCTCACAGAACGCTGGGTCTATTTATATAAGTCTATGGTTTCAGCTGCAGTTTTCTTCATGTCAAAATAGTGGAGAAGTACATGTCAAAAAAATACTTTATTGCGATTCATTCTTCATCGATTAAAAAATCTCTCTGTTTACACAATAATCAATCTTTGCACACTAAATTGTATTGACCAATGTTTATCCTTTATAAAACAAGCAACTTCAAACATCAAAACTTATTTCTGTGGGGAATTTATGTCCGCCATATTTGTACGCTATGAGCGCGGCACTACCAAGCGAGCGAACACACAATCACTTCTACAATCTTGACTTTCGTCCTGTAGTCAACGCAATAAAAATGTTGTTCTTGATCACGAGTGCTTCGATCTTTATCCTGACACGTCTATAGAAAGTGGGACACGGATTAAGTCACAAGTCCCCACATTTTGTCTGTAGTTAGCACCATCTACTTGTGAGAAACGGAAACTAATTTTAACACCTAAAGGTGCGGATTCATGCAGCGAAAAATTGCTGGCGACTTGGGAGAAGTGGGGGAAAAATGACGTTAGCGACAAGTATCCGTCGCTTTTCTTCCGCTACATATTTATGTGACGACAAATCGCTAGCGATTTCAATGTCAGCATTTTCATAGGTTATTGTTTATAGTAGAAATTGAAAAGCTGTAAATGAAAATGAAGGCGACAATACATTCAAATGAGGTGCATTCCGCTAATGCCCGATTCCACCAACGTAGATTAACTTTAATCTCGGTTCAACTTACTCTTCACCTTTTTCTAATTCTTAGAACTAAGCCAAATTAAAGTAAAGGTAAAGAAATTGAGAGGAAGGGAGGGGAGAACAAGAATTTTACATTGGCTATCAACATTCTCTTAAAAAATTGTTATCCAATTGATTTTATTTTTTCGACGATACATAAAAGACTTAAATTTTAATCCAAAAGACTAGTGATATTAATTCTACAGGTAATATTTCAAATAATAACTGTGATAACAATGGCTTTAAGACTTTTTTTACTATTCCGTACATTTCATCCTTCTACAAAGACTTCAACTCCATTGCCAGAAGCTTCGATTTAAAATTAGCATCGGCGAATAGAAGCTATCTCAACCACAGATGTCTATACTAGTACTAGATCGCTAACTTCGTCAAAAGAGCTGAGGTTGGCAGGATTTCCGGTTTCGGCCATGACACCCTACAACAAAATGGCGACAATGCGTGTGTTATGTGTATTGGCCGGAGCACAGACTTTTACATAAAGCATATCGTATAACTTCGTATA